ATGGTACGCTGTCATCATATGTCTTGTCATCGGTGATATTCAGGTCACCGAAAGGATTATTAAAAGTAGGCCATTGGGCTCGTGAGAACCAGGGCTATTGGTTGCAGTTTGAATCGGCGAGATCGGTCTGCTAATTGAAGGTCCGAGTCATTGCGTGTTGATGGCTATGACCCCACGTCGCTTTTGATATCATTCGAGTTTTTCAAATTGCACATTCCTCTCACTTGACGTGTATTTCGTCGCTTGTATGCGATATATACATATACACACATTATATATATATATATATATATATATATATATATATATATATATATATATATATGTAGCTTGTCTTTGCGCCACTGGCGTCACAGCTGACACGCCTGTCCCGCAGACTATCCGGGTCACGTCACGAGGACCACGCCGAGGCGTACCACTCGCTGGCACGTGACCACCTGGGGTCCCGTCCGTCCGACTCGCCGCCGGCCCGCGCGAGATCACGTGACGGCCGCCGGAGGCGCTCTAGCTCGCCGGTGCGCCGAAGCCGGTCCGCTGAGCGGCTGTTCGGGGCGTTGGGGTCGCCCGAGCCGCCGCCGCCGCCGTCGCGCCGGACGGCGGCCGGCGGCAGCCACGGTCGCCGCTCCTCGTCTTCTGAGCGGCGCCGCCGCGGGGAGGGTCTGGCGCGCCCCTCCTATCTGCGCCGCTCGTACACCCCGCCGGCGGCCGGCTCGCCCGAGCGGCGCCCGCTGCCGGCGCGCGGTCACCGCCGGCCCGGCGCCGGCGGCCGGGACGTCAGCCCACACGCGCTGCTCATGCGGGCGCTGCGGCGACCGGACGCCCGGGCGCCGGCTGACGGCGCCCCGGCCCGGGCGCGGTCGCCTACGGACGGCCGCGGGCGCCGGCGACGGTCCGCCGCGTCGCCGGACTTCCTCGACGCGCTGCTGGAGGGGCCGGGCCTGGATCTGCTGCGCGACCGTTCGCCGGTGGCGACGCGGCCGGCGGAGGGCGAGCTCAGCCTGGTGTCGCTGTTCAGTCACGAGTACGGCGACCGGTCGCGGAGCAGGTCGCGGGACCGGCGGTCGACGCCGCCTCTCGCCCGCAGACGGCGCGCAAGAGTGAGCCGCGCCGAGAAGCGGGCGAGACAGTCGGCGAGGGGGGCCTGCGCTGCGTCGAAGCGCCCGAGTGCGGAGCGAGAGCGCAGGGACAGGTCTGCCGACCGATCCAGGGGCGGCCGTCTGTCGCCCGCGGCGGCAGCGCCACGCAAGCCCCGGCGGCGGGGAGGGAAGACGAGACGGAAGACCGCTGGTGTCGGCGCCACGCCCAGGGCAGCCTCGGCGCAGGGTCACTCGGCCTCGGAGCGCAAGACATCACCGCCGGATGCGTCGGACCGGCGAGGATCACCGGGCTCGTCTAGTCGCCGCCGTCGCCGGGCATCCCCGGCCAGGCGACGTGGCTCGCGTGCTGAAGACGCGGACAGCCCGCCGGCGTGCAGAGCTTCAGCCGCCACCAGGGGGCAGCACAGGCCCCATTCTGTCGAGGGCGGCAGCGCGACGGACGGAACGCAGGACGTGGCCAGAGGTGATTGCACAATGTCAATGACGGCCGTCAAACAGTGCGAAAACCACGAGCATCAAGGCTCAGCCGAGAACAAAACCTGTGACAAATCGGACTCGGATAAAGGTCTTTCTCCTAAGACAAGAACGGGGACATCCGAGCAATCCGCCAAACCCAGCGAACCAGTCAGCAGCGAGGCGAACGTCGCGGCTCCAACGTCGAAATGCTTAGTGGACTCGTCGGAACCCAGGGAAAAACTGGATGTAAGAAAGCATGGCATAGAAGAGGTGTCACTTATGGATGGTGGGGAGAATGCTGGTGAGGTGTTAGCCAGGGGCATGGGCTCAGGACGGAGAAAACGTGGGGCGCGATCGAAGAGACGACCAAACGCGGCCAATAGGAATGACATCGAAGTGTCTGCGACTGACATGCCGGAAGTGAACACGACGAAAAGCGAGGGCGAACAAATCACTGCAGCTAGAAGGAAAAGAAGACGCAGATGTGGAAAGAACAATCCGAGACGCTGCAGAGGACACAGAAGAGCGCGCGCGGCGCCCCCGGACGCGGGAGAGGAGGGCGTGGCGCCGGTGGACGCGACAGCGAGCGACACCTCGGACGCCGAGTCGGAGGGCGACGCGTCGGAGGACGGAGACGGCCGGGAGGCGCCGGCGGCCGGCCGGCGGCGGCGCGGCTGGCGGCCTGCTCAGCAGCAGCGTCCGCTGGACCAGGGCGCGCTCCGCTCCCGCGGCCTCAGTCTGTGGGACGTGCGCGGCCGGGCCGACGTGGCCGCTGCCGGCCGCCGCGCCGCCGCCGCCGGCACGGCCGGCCAGCGCCAGTTCAGCGTGCGGGATGGTCGGATCGTTGAGCTGGGCGGTGACGCCGCGTCCGCCACGCCCGCCGCGTCCGCCACGCCCGCCGCGTCCACCGCGTCCGCCGCGCCTTTCGCGCCCGCCGCGCCCGCCGCATCGGAGCAGTTCTACACGCTGGAGGAGGGCGCCATCAGCGAGCTGTCAGCTGAGCGGTGTCGCCAGCTGGCCGCCGGCGGACCGGCGCCGGCCGGCCTCCAGTTCTACACCAGCCGCGCCGGCCGTATCGTGCGCGTCGACTGCGAGGAGGTGCGCCGCGCGCTGTGCGCCCGGCCGGCGGCGCCACCGGAGGGCGGGGAGGGCGCTCCGCCGGCGACAGCAGGCGGCGCCGACGCCGGTGACTCGGGCCAGACGGAAGTGCGCGGCGGAGACGGACCGCCGCGGCCGGCGACGCCGCCCGACGAGGCCGTCCAGTCGTCCAGCGTGACGCAGTCGAGTTAGGCCAACTGAGCCGGGCGGTAGTGGCCGAGCAGCAGATGCCGACTGCTGTCACCAGCCCGCTCCCACCGCCAGGCAACAGTCTGCTGTGCTGCAGGCTGCATACGTCTGTTGGAAGAGAGCCATTTGTTGTTGATGGACGTAACGAAGTAGTGCTTAGTTCCGTCAGTGGCTTAGATGGTTGTGACCATCTAGAACAATCAGTAAGACAAGTGCTTTAAAACATAGAGTCCTTTGAAGCAGGTCATGCGACGAGGCGAAGACCAGATGAGGATGTTCTGCGAATGTTTTGTGGTCTGCCGTTACGGAGAGCGAGCCTGTTGCGGATAGTGCGGTAATTTTTGTGCACGAATGGCACCGCGGGCGGAAGGCAATTTTTCCTTGATATAATCTTCGAGGGAATGTGTGGCGTTATCGGCGTGACTGTTAGCAGGTTTGCAGCAGCGGGTTTTTGGGCGTGGACTGTCAGCAGCATCGTTCAGCTCCGCAGAACACTGGGCATTGGTGCTTGACATCGCACCGGGGGAGGACGTGTCCAGTGGTGCTGGTGCCTCGTCGGAGCTTATCAGCAAGTACAAACCCGTTATAGACAAGCTTTCATGAGCCTTGTATGGCAAGTTTCGCGACGTACTGTGACATCCCCAACGTGTGCGTGTGCGTGTGCGTGTGCGTGTGCGTGTGCGTGTGCGTGTGCGTGTGCGTGCGCGTGTGCGTGTGTGTGTGCGTGTGCGTGTGCGTGTGCGTGTGCGTGTGCGTGTGCGTGCGTGCGTGCGTGCGTGCGTGCGTGCGTGCGTGCGTGCGTGCGTGTGTGTGTGTGCGTGTGTGTGTGTGTGTGTGTGTGTGTGTGTGTGTGTGATATGATACTGGTGATGATCATCGATAAAAAAGTACCTAAGACCCTGTTTCTAGTTGGCGCATAATCCTCTCACTAGTACATGGACGTAATAACGCCTGCATAAGTACCTGTCGACACGTGACCTTCCTCAGAGAAACTGCCCTCGTGTTTTCTCGTCTCGTTTCCTGTTGCGGCACGTGTCGCGTTTGTGCCCAGAAGAACCATTACACAGCCATCAAACTTGCTGTTGGCGCCGGTCTTGAATACAAGTCGTAGCGTCTCGCGATGCCTCTCGTCCTGCCGCGCTTCCTCCCCGCCCCACAGCTGGTGCGGCGCGGCCAGCACGGCTTGTGCAAGTCGGGCTTGTCCCACCGCTCCAGGTCGGTACAGCCGGCGGCGGGCCTGGCCAGCTGGAGACGCTGGGGCGGGCCCGCAGCGCGGCTCGGACTGCGGGGAGCCCCACTGGCACCGTGGGAGAGGACGTGCCCGCAGGGGCGGCCGCCTCGGCTGGGCCCGGACGCGCGCCTGATGTCTGGAGTTGCGGAGCGGTACCAGTGCTGTACTTGTGTGAGGGGCATTGGTGTCGCGGCGCGCACTCTGCCGCAGTACGAATGAAGTGGCTTGACGTGATGTCATCGTAGACCATGACGACAGCCCTGCGCTCTCCCTGTCATGCGATCGGCGCAAAAAGCGGACGCTGCTTGGGCTTCAACGTTTCCTTGCGCCGCTGAGGTATGGCATGGGCATGTCTAGAGTAGCGAAGGTCCCTTCCCGGTCGCTCGGCGTGATCGTTCCCTTCGCGGTCGGGTCCCGAGAAGTTCGCTCGGCGTGATCGTTCCCTTCGCGGCCGAACCACGAGAAGTTCGTTAGGCGTGATCGTTCCCTTCGAACCCCGAGAAGTTCGCTCGGCGTGATCGTTCCCTTCGCAGCCGGGCCCCGAGGAGTTCGCTCGGCGTGATCGTTCCCTTCGCAGCCGGACCCCGAGAAGTTCGCTCGGCGTGATCGTTCCCTTCGCAGCCGGGCCCCGAGAAGTTCGCTCGGCGTGATCGTTCCCTTCGCAGCCGGACCCCGAGAAGTTCGCTCGGCGTGATCGTTCCCTTCGCAGCCGGGCCCCGAGAAGTTCGCTCGGCGTGATCGTTCCCTTCACAGCCGGACCCCGAGAAGTTCGCTCGGCGTGATCGTTCCCTTCGCAGCCGGGCCCTGAGAAGTTCGCCCGGCGTGATCGTTCCCTTCGCAGCCGGGCCCCGAGAGGATCGCTGGGCGTGATCGTTCCCTTCGCAGCCGGGCCCCGAGAAGTTCGCTCGGCGTTCCGGAGAGAGCCGAGCCACGAAGTATTCATTTATTTCGCCCGGAGCCCTCGCTGAGCGGCTGCCGCCCTGACCACACTCGCCGCGACAAGCTCCCTGGCGGCAAGGTCACGACGCGAGTGTTGGTAGCCGCACCGTTGCCCACCGTCTTATTGCACAATCTATTGACGCAGCCGCACCCGACGGATGGACGTGGAGGTGAAGGCTGTGCACTCCACGCGCCTTCCGGTTCATCGTCCCCGGTGTGGGCTGTTCAGCACGTGCCGTTCACGGTGTTCTGTTCTCACGAACGCAATCACTAATCATTAAATGCCTTGGCACCGGGTGACAGCTGTGAAATCCCGGGCACAACACCTGCTCAGGATGTAACGACCACCGCGACCTCCTCATAACCGCAAGCAAGCCGCCACTTTATGCCAGCTACCGAGCACCGCGCAAAACTAGCAAACAATATGCGATGAACCTTACGTTCAGGGAGGGCAGCTTCTTCGTTGCTGGGGTTTCTGTGCACAGAATGCCACGCTGCGAGCGGTTCTGGCCATTTTGATGGAAGTGCACCCGCGTAGCCCAAAAGTCAGTGTGATGACTTCGGAAGACGAACAATTGCCTGCAGAGCGAACACCACAGACTGCGGCGCGCGGCGTCAGCCCCTACTCGCGTTCCATCCGCACAGCGTCCACACACACGAGCTTCCATTGTGCACCAGCACGTCTCGTCCTCCCTTAAAATGGCAAACGCTACGACAGGAGGCACTTCAGCGTGCGCGCGCGCCGGTGTCGCATCACTGCACGCGGCGGCCCAGTCACCGGGTGCGCCGGTGTCACACCACTGCACGCGGCGGCCCAGTCACCGGGTGCGCTGGTGTCACACCACTGCGCGCGGCGGCCCAGCCCCGGGCTCTGCTCCTTGACCTGCCGCTGGTCAGCGCCACCGCGTCACACTCCCAGTTTGGCGACTCGTAGCGATCCGGACGATGGTGCTGCCTCATGGCGGCCGCACGCCGAACCACGACCACTGACTTCCGCCAGCGGCTGGGCTGTCGCGGCCGCCGCCCACTTCCAAAACCACGTTGCACACCCTAAAAATAGCGCCGTCGGCCGGTGGCGGCCCGGCGGCGCGCTGTTTTCGTTGGGCGCGTCCTGAAGTGGGTCGTGCGCGCGTGGCGGCGCCTGCACGCGCGGCGTCTATCACAGGCGGCCGGCCGGTCGGCGGCGGCGTCATATGGACTTGCGTGGCCTGCCCCGCGGCCGGCCGTGCCGCGGGCTCAGCCCGTAGCCGGGGAACGTGTCCTCGGCGTCGGTGTCGGGCGGCGAGGGCGCCGCCGGTCGGTGCGCCGCCGCCGGCACCTGGATGGGCGGGCTGGCGGCGGTCGCCAGGGGTCGACTGAGGTCCCGCTCCGACTGGGCCGTGGCGCCGGCCGTGCGGTTGGCCTTGGTCACGGCCGACTCGTCGTCCAGGCTCTCCTCATCCACCTCCTGCAGCGGAGCAGGCAAGGCCCGGTCACGGCATGACGAGAGGGACACCGAATGACAGTCAGGACAGTAATGACGGTCGCGTATGGGGCTGGGGCGTCAAGCCACAGCACACTGAGTTGCCGAAGAGGAAGTTTAACGATTTACCCCCAAGGTGCGAACGCCAGATAGCGGAAACGATGAAGGCCAGTGCAGGCATTTGTAAAACTGAGCCGATTTCGCAAACTTGATTGATGTTGCGTCAGCTTGACAGGCCTACCTTGGACCAGTCACTCTGTCTGAAGGGTGCAATGCGAGCATGTGACTCGCAGCAGGCACACCAAGCTTTAGTCGAAATGGTTATGCTGTATCATGTTTCCACCGGAACCCCTATTCTGATTGTTTTGCCACACCAAATTTTCCAGCACTCTGCACCCGTCTCAGCCAGTCACGATCGGGTCTGATGCCCCAGAGAGGCCACGCCGTCGTAACTCGTGACATCCGGTGGCGTCCGTCTGCGGACCGCGCCGGGCGGCCGTCGGCGCGGTCGGACGCGACGCCGGCCGCCCCCTGGCGGCACACCTGTCGACACTCGACAGGCGTGTGGAGCGGCCGGCGACGGCAGGCTGGTGTCAACAGGTGCAGGTCCGGTGAGGCCCCGTTGCCGGCTCCTCACGGCACGCCAGCCGCCAGGACGACGCCGGTGCATTGGGGACGGGACGGGCTGGGCGGAAGTCGGCTGACGACAACTGTTTCGCACGCCTCGCCTGCACGGCCTGCAGCTTGGTACGCTGACAGATTGATGACGGGCGAACCGAGAGCTGACGAGTTCATGAGTTCATGGCCAACAGCAGCCCCACTGTGACCTATAAATCACCTGCACTTTACTGACGTGTTCGGTGGGTGTCTTTCCTCCTCCGACTACAGATATTTTGGCCTACTCGCGTGCGCTTCACGCGCTGTTTTTCCTTTCTTCCCCATGTTGCAGGAACAACGAACTGCGCTGGTACACGCTACCTAAACTGAGCTACACCCAACTTATGGGGAGGTGGCCATGTAGCTGCAAGGAAAAATTACGTTCGGTGGCCGGTCACCGCTCCAGACAGACTCGCATGTCTTGTATAGTCCGGCGATTGGCAAAGCCGGGCTACTTTCCCAGCGCGCTGCCTCGGATGACTTGCAACACGACCGTGCTCTGCGCCGCCCACCGGCCGCGGCGCCCCCCGCCTGTCCGTGACTGGCTCGGTCGGCCGGCGAGTCGTGGCTGGGCGCGCTCCGCTGGCGGCGCGGCTCGGCGCGACAGGCCGCGTCCCAGGGACGGCGCTGGCGCCCGCCAGGTGAGCCGCCCCACTGCTGACCCAATTCCTCGCCGGCGGCGGCGGCGGCGGCGGCGCTCTTCCGGCGGCGCGGCCGGCAGGGTGGCGGCTGGCGGCGGTTTGTGACGCGCCAGACGGCCGCACTTAGAGCGGCGTCCAGCCGACGCCAGATCGATCAGCGGCAGGGGTCGCCGCGCCCCCGCGTGACGTCACGGCCCGGACTCCCCCTCCCCTCCCCCCGTTACGGCCGGAGATTGGCGACTCTCCTCGGTGAAGAAGGGGGAGGAAGCTGAGGTTTGTCAGGCGACAGGTCACCATTCCTCTATCTGGAGCGTGAAAACGTCCCACGGCGTCACGGCACCTGGGTCTACAAGCGGCGAACAAAGACTGAGAGAAGCCGGGCGCCACCAGCCGTTTTTGTGGCTGGTGATCTTGTACTTTCGGGGTAAAGGTCCCCACCCAACGCAGCCACGCTTGCACACTTCGTCAAAAGTGACCATGACATGCTACCCTTTAAGGGGTCCAGATTTCCCTCCATATGAATATCACGAATGATAGCGATTGTCACTGACGGGGACGCATCGAAGAAAGACGCCGTGCTCCCACGCCTTGGGATACCACGGGATCCCGCTCACGAATATCTCGCATTGAGCAATGAGAGCGCCGTGGCACGATGTGCTAGGTTTTCGCTCTTTTGCGTTCTGCGTTCCAATCTGGTTGTTGAGTCATTCGTCATTTACCCGATTTCAAGCCCAGATAATCATGTTGGTACGCTCAAACGGTCGTTAAACAAAAGGTCGCGGCTCGCATTGCCCACTCACGACACGGGAGTCAGGGTGACTCCCGAGCCCTGCTCTCTAACGTAGCACGTGATGCGTACGTCGTAACACATGCTTACGTGCCGAGCGTGTTACATACGTGTGTTATCTAGTACTTGGTACATGTGTAAGCGTTATGGACCTACGCATGTGCAACGTGTTAACTCAGCAAGTTACGTCAAATGGAAATTGGATTTAATAGCTGTATGCTCGAGCAGCGGACAGGTGTCGCCTGCGAGCCTGGAATGCACCCGGAAACTGTGTTACTGGGTAAGAGCATGACTTCTGCCACGTTAGGTGGTAATCATGCTGACTATTTTATACTGCTTCACTGGTAAATGAACGTCAGCACGGCCTTGAGCGCACTCAGAGACTTTTTCATAACTGTGTCATGAGTGTGGCAGATCGTCTGTGTTACCATAAGCTAACACACGTTGCGTATGCACATGCAGCAGATGCTACGTTGCATGGTTACAGTATTGGTGTTCGGTGGTCGGCGTGAAAGGGCAGCTCATGCACGATTCTTCCGGAGGCGCCGGAAGTTTATTTGCCGCTGCCGATGTCTATTTAGCAGCTGAACAGACCAACAATTGTCAGCTGCGTTGTTTGCAGATAGGTGAGGGCCAATATGGTTCAACAACGATCATGGACACCATCCACAGGGACATTGATCATAATCGACGCCCGGCGTCCGCATTCACGGCGGCCCTTGACAGAAACGCTGAATGCTTTCACTAAGCGGTACTTTGGGGCTTCGTGTATTGGCCAGTGTCTCCTGTCGTAATGAAGGTCGCTTAATGCTCTTGCTATTGTTGATCATGCCACTTTATTGTTTAATGGATGTGATCGGAAACGGAACCCTTGTCAATAACGTCAAGCAGAAGTTGAGAAGCCGACTGAGAAAGTGAAACTCTACGAGCGGGTCACATGCTCAGCATGCCCCAATACGCCGATGACTCGAAAGCTCCACCTTTTCCACTAACGCTTTACGTTTCCGGTTTACACAAACAATGCTGATGCGTCCACACAAAGCGGGGTTTTTACGCCGCGCCACCACTAGCGCGCCGCGTTGTTTACAATCGGCGCCATCTCGGCGTCGCGGGCGCTCACGCCTCCCGCCGGCCCCGTGTCTCGGCGAGGGCCGCGACGTCGTTGCCTTCCCCAGCTTCGCCCAGCTTTGTTTGTTGCAGACTGGCGGCGGCGCGACGGAACCAATCGGCGCCGAGATCTCCGCACACGACCTACGCTCTAAAACAAAGCCGACGTACAGCAAGCCATTGTTGCCGGGCTGGCCGGACTGACACGGCTGAGCGACCGGCTCCGCTGATGCCGGCCGTCTGCCGCGCTGGTGCCGGCCCCGCCCCTCCCCCGCCAGGGCACCACCCGGGCTGAGGTCTGACACGTCGCCGAAAGGAGCCCGGGTGAGGACCGACAGTTGACAGTTGGGGACTGAGAGCACCAACTTTGCGTCAGTGAGTAGACGAAACCCAGAAATGCCAAGCCATCGCAAGGTTGGTTTGGTTGGCTTGCCACCAAAATGGCAAGGTTTCTTTACGAGGTGTAGCTGCAGGGTCCCCCTCCCCCACTGGCTGAGAGGAGCCTGGCGTTACTGTGTAGCGAGGTGGCGTGTCACTTGTATCCGGCGTTCGTGACTACCACTGCACGTCGTACCAGGCACCGTCCCATAGCTGCCCGGCGCCGACGGCCCGACGGACACAGCGGGGCGGGTCGCGACAGACTGCCGGCCTGAGCAGCGACACACCAGCCATCAGAGCAGGTGGCTACCCGTCCTACCCCACTCCACGCCCCTGCGATGGCGACCCATCCCACCTCACTCCACGGTCCTGAGATGGCAACCCATCCTAGATGGCGACCCATTCTAACCCACTCCACGGCTCTAAGACGCGCACAATACAGCCGCGAGTAAGGGCAGTTGCCCGCCGTGCATAGCGCGCCCAGTGGCATGTTTTCAAACTCCTAACGTACTCTTCCAGCGGACGGTGGGCGCTGAGCATCTGTAGGTGCTAATGACGGGGTATTCCCCGGGGCGCCTTCTGAAGCGAGAAGGAGGGGAGGGCTCGCTCAGGCCGGGGGCAGCAACGACCGCTCGCTCTGCCGGCGCGCTATCTGCTGACAGGCGCCCGCAGCAAAACACCGTGACCGCATTTCGCGCATTACCGTCAGCTATAGCAGATTCCACCAGCGACAAAGAGTCCTGTCGTTTTTGCTGCGGCCGAGTGTGCAGCTCGTGACGTCACACCGGGCGTTCTTGTGTCGCACGCTGGCCGGGTGCGCGCGGCCGGCCCATCCGCCCCAGCCGGAAAGTAAACACTTCCGGCCCGCGGGACGGGCGCCGCGCTGCTCACGGCTTCGCTGCAGGAGCCGCTGCGAAGAGGATTTGGTCCTGACGGCTCCTGGGGCCGCCGAAGCCGCCCGCTGTGCAGAGGGTGGGGTGCACGACTGTGCAGCGCGGCGTGCAGTGTAGCGTGCACCGAGGGTCCGGGCCGGCTCAGCGCCGGGCGCAGAGACGGGCGGCGGACCGGCGTCGGCCGACCCATGGCCGCGGCCAGTGTGGACATCACCGACGCGGCGATGGAGGGACTCGGCGCAGAGGCTAACTCGAGGGAAGCGATGCAGAGTGTTGTTATGCCTGCGCGCATCTACGACGCATACGGCGTCGACATTTGTACGCGTAATTCTAGCGTGCGTACATGTTTCGTCGCCTGCTGCTCACGGGCGCCGTAAAAGCATTACGCGAAGCGCCGTGGACGGCTGCATGCTCATTCCTTTCGGTCAAATCCTCTTCAAATTTCGGCCCAGCTGGGCTATGTAATCGACTAAATACCGGTGGCGATTCGGCCCTCTCTAAGCAAGCCTGGCACGCCGCTAGGGCTGCCGCCGAGACACGAACTGCTCGGCCCGCTCGTGCCACGCTTTCGACCCCTGCCAGTGGACCGGCGACCGGACCATCCGACGCCAGATCTGGTGCCCGATAACGTATCGGCTCTCTTCCAACTTCCGCGGTGCATATCGATCTTGGCGAACACAGCGTGGCCCGACGCAGGTTTGGAGGTTCGATCACCGCGGTCTAGTCATGTGGACTGCATGCAAATGCGTGTTTTGCAGCCCGCGGGCCAGTTTGCGCCACGCGATGTTAAGACACAACGGCGTAGTGACGGAATGACGCAAAAACCAACCCGTACAAAAAAGGTACGGCGTCTTTCCCCATGCATCTCTGTCTCGTCTGATGTGGCACCTAAGATGATAAAGTACGTGATGCATTAAGACTCCAAGTCGCCCTCCCGAGAAATGATTACTACACAAGATATAATTAATTCTGATGCGTGTTTGCTTATATGGACATGCATCGAAGACGATTCAAAGCCTACCCGTCGAAAATAATAAAGTCCCGCCGACCAACAACTAGCAGTCCTAACTTTCATTTCACGAGTCATTGCATCACATTTGCTACCTTTGCATTTGGTTAGCCACGGACAGAACATCACGTTGCAAAGGTTATAAACACGACTATTACATCGGATTACATCAGCCTGACCATCTGGAAAGTACAAGACGGCGAGCCACCAACGGACCTGACCTTGATCTCATCGAAGGTCACGGGCTGGGTGCGGAACCGCCCGGCGCGGTTCATTTTCTTCTTGACCGCCCTCCTGTAGGCGTTGGGGTGCGTCTCTAGCCGGTGCATCCGGGAGAGGGGCTCCGGGTACACGGCGTCCACCGACCTCAGCGGGCTCGACATCCTCCTGCGAACCGCGGCGCTGTCAGAGAATCGTGCGGCTCCGTGCTGACGGCTGTGAGCGACAGTCGGGGAGGGAGCGGACCATCGTGTCAGTCCGTCGGCTCAGCTGTCGCATGCAGGCTCGAACACCAGGGCGCTTATCACCCAGAGTACACTCAGCGGGCTGGTGTGAGATGCGTCACGCTCATGCGTCACGCTGGCGCCGGCGACGGACAGCACGCCGCCGCACGGCACGGCACGTCTTCCCGATGCACGCAGCCGGTCGTGCAGACGGGCGGCCCTGTCTTGGGACGCGCCGCGGTCTGACAGCGCCGCGCTACACGGCCCGACCAGCTACCATGTCTCAGCCATGCCTCAGCTGGCTGCTGCCGTGGACGGCCGGGGTTTGCACACTATACGGTCCGGCCAGCTGCCATGCCTCAGCTGACTGCTCTCGTGGAGGCCGGGGTTTATACACTATACGGCCCGATCAGCTGCCATGTACCAGCCATGCCTCAGCTGGCTGCTGCCGTGGACGGCCGGGGTTTATACAATATACGGCCCGGCCAGCTGCCATGCCTCAGCTGACTGCTCTCGTGGAGGCCGGGGTCTATACACTATACGACCCGGCCAGCTGCCATGTACCAGCCCTGCCTCAGCTGGGTGCTGTCGTGGACGGCCAGGGTTTAAACACTATGCGGTACGGCCCGCTGCCATGCCCCAGCTGGCTGCTGTCGTGGACGGCCGGGGTTTATACACTATACGGCCCGGCCAGCTGCCATGCCTCAGCTGACCGCTCTCGTGGACGGCCGGGGTTTATACACTATACGGCCCGGCCAGCTGCCATGCCTCAGCTGACCGCTCTCGTGGACGGCCGGGGTTTATACACTATACGGCCCGGCCAGCTGCCATGCCTCAGCTGACCGTTCTCGTGGACGGCCGGGGTTTATACACTATACGGCCCGGCCAGCTGCCATGTACCAGTCATGCCTCAGCTGGCTGCTGTCGTGGACGGCCGGGGTTTATTTGGCTGCCGGCGGGGGGGGGGGAAGGGGGGAGGGGAGGTCAGCAGTGACAGTCGGCGCTGCCGGCGGCGGCGCGGCGCCACATCCCGCTCCGGACCGGCGGCGCGGCTGGTAGTCGGCACTGCGGACCGCTAACGCGCCGAACCCCCGCGAGCAAACGACGCCAGCTGTCGGCACTGCGGATTGCTAACGCGCCGAACCCCCACGAGCGAGCGACGCCAGTTGTCGACACTGCGGGCGGCGGCTTCGCACTGTGCGGACGAGCGCTCATAACAGGACCGAATCGCGCGTTCGTTGCTGCTGCGCAGTCTGCGCCGCCTACGTCACTTCCGTCCTGAGACTGTGGAGCGTGTCCTCGCCCAGGTCATGCTCACGGTCACGCCCTCGGGATGGAGCAGAGTCCTTCTGACGCATCGGCAGGGTCTCGGCAGACCACCATGCCTCGGGCGAAGAATCCAAGCGCGCGCTTGTCATGTACGGCGTATGTTCGGGCGCAAGTCAAACCGGTTTCTCAAATGTGGAGGGATCCGCATATATATATATATATATATATATATATATATATATATATATATATATATATATATATATGCGTGCGTGCGTGCGTGCGTGCACGTTTATTCGTACATCGCAAATTAAGAATCGTGCTCGACTTGTGACGTGGGTTGCTCACTCTTTCACCACGCACTTGAAGCTTGAAGCTTGAAGCTACTTCCCCATGACACCCAGAATGAGATCAAACTGAATTAAACACGATCCATTCGTTTGTGTCGTCTTCGGGGCTTTAAGGTGCACTCATCTGTTGAGGCTGCGTGGCAAGTTCATTCATTTTCCTGGTGCGACTTAATCTCAGGTGATTCCAACTGCATCGCATGATTTGATCCCTCCTCTTGTCCAAACATTTCCCAGCAGTGCGGCCCGATAACCTGACAATCACAGAGGTCCCCAGCACTGCAACACGATAACCTGCCGGACACAGACTCCGGGTGATGCGCGTTGCGCCCCCCTCCCCCAACCCCTTCCCCGCCCCAAGGGGGATGCGGAACGCAACAAAGCGCATGTCTGACCGCACGAAGGTCACACCGGTGGGGCTCGAGCTAGATCCCACAATTGGAAGGTTAAGCGCGCAGTTCGCAGCGCGTCCTGGTGCTTGCGGCGCCCGAACTCTGCAAACCGCTGGGTGCTTAACTTCGAAACAAAACAAAACTCAAAACTAAAGTTTCTTCCCCAGCCTTCTTTTCTCAGGATGGGCCTGCCTACACGTCCTCGTTTCCATTTTGGTCAAGCAGAGGAAAAACTGTATTCCTAAAGGCTCCCTACCACTCTAGCATGTGATGTAGAACGGAATAACCACGTTATCACTCATCTTTGCAATGTTTTGTTCATTTGGCCCCGCCGTAACACGATGGCTGGAAAAGCGGGCGCGTGTAAAAGTGCCTCTTACGTGCTGCCGCATTTGACAGCACCACCATTCTCCCATAGCGCAACGCGTTAAAGTCAGAACTTCGCGGGATTACTGCAGCGCTGAGAGCGGCGCAAAGAGGATGCCAAGTAACTGAGAGGTTAATATCTAGCTGTCTACGTATAGCTCAAGAATGATCCTTACCCGATGGAGCCGACTCCATCCAACGTTCCCACGGCTTTCATATTATGCGGAGTGAAACCGCGGGCAGATTGAGCTTCGATGGCCGGCGTCGGGCGGTTGCCGCTCGCTCAGCTAACTGATCCCGACTGAACTCGACTGATTCAGCAAACAACTGTCCTCGAGAGCGTGCTGAAGTCAGATCGGCACCAGCGCCATTCGGCAGCCGCCTGACGGGGCTCGGGGCGGGGGCGGATCGAGCACGAGCTCTACACGCGCCGGCAGACAGCCATGACGTCACTCCGCGCCGCTCGGTCCGGGGCGCACCTGCAGCTCGTGCGCCGCGCTGCCTCGCGCGTCAGCCCACCCAGATGTGGCCCCGCGACGCCGGCCCCGACCCCGCTCCACTGGCCGGGAGGCCGAGTGCGCAGCCTCGCCGTGCAAACACGGCCAGGTGCGCGCCGCCGCCACTCACCGAACCAGCTGGCGCCGCGCTCCTGCGGCCGAGCTCAGCGCCGCACTCTGCTGCCGGACACGGCGCGCCCCGGGCCGCCGTCGGGCCTCACCGCGCCGCGACCTCAGCCCGCGTCCGTCCCGGCCGCGCCGCCGCCGTCGTCTCGCGCCGCCCCAGCGGCCGGCGCCCGGTGCGGCGGGGCTGGCGCGCCGTCCTCGAGTGGCGCTACCTGCCGCCGCACCGCGCCGCGCCGGCCGCGTCGCAGAAGGGAGCCTCAGCCGACGCCGACGGACGATAAATCAGGGGAGCGGCGGAGCTGGCACGCCGGCGGCTGTCTGCTGCCGTCGCCGCGGCCGGTCGGCGCCGTCACGCTCGCCCGGCGCCGGTCAGGGGCGTGTCCCGACGGCCGTCCTGACTGTCGCTGCCGCCCCGCAGTAGTGGTCTCACCGGCACGGCGCACGGCCGCTGAGCATGGAGAGATGTTCCCGCAGTGCCGGACAGCTTGAGGCAAATCTGCCAGGCGCCCCTTTGTCTGGCGGACCTCGTGCAACACTGCTATCTCTGCGGGCCCGCGTCCCTGGCCAGCGCCTTGTCCGTGGCTCTCTGTCCTCGCGCGGCCTCCGCGCGGCTCCGCTGTTCTCGTCCTTCTCGCGTGGCCTCGGCGTCGCGTGCACAAAACCACGCCAGCCGACGGGCCTGGTCCGCTCCGAGGCGGCGCGGCGCCCTCGGTCCCGCTATGCGACGCGTCGCAGCCCGCTGGCGCGTGTCGCACGCGCAGCTGTGCGACGGCGTGAGAGGCGTCGCAGAAGTCGGCGCGATCGACCGCGCGTCTAGTCGGCGAGTGTGCGCAAGGTACGACGTGCTGCATCACTGTACGGGACAGCGAATGCAGCGGAGGGTGCAGGCGACAGCGGGGATGGTCGAAGCTTACGTTATTATCTCTCGATCAGACTGAGCCGGGCGGCGGGGCGATGTCATCAGCCCTCGCCGAACGGCTACGGTATGTCAGAGGCAGCGAAACACTAGCTAAAATTGGCGAGGCTGGTCAAGGTCATCTGTGGCCCGTCATGGCGACAATGAAAAACCGCGGAAGGAACCGCATGCCGCGAGATCACGAAAGAGCTGCGAACGGCTCGAGTGCGACCAGCGAAAGAAACCCCGGAAAAACCACGCCGTTTGTCACGCAATACACCGCGAACAAGGCCGAGGGAGCCCGTAACTCACGCGTCAGAGATGGACCCTAACAATTCGAGCGGCGAGCAAGGCGACAGCCGAGCTGAGAAGCCCGGCTGGACGGCCGGACCGAGGCCGACGGCGGGCGGCACGTGACCTGGAGGGCGCGCAGAGGACGCCGAAAACGACGAGGCCCGTGCCGGCTGCTGACAGGGCCGGCCGGACCTGCGGACGGCGCCAACGTCTGACGCAGCAGAGGGCGGCGTGGCGGCCGGCCGGGCCGCGGACGCTCGGCCGGCATCGGCTGGCGGCAGCAGACGCGGCCCGACGGGCCAGGTCGGCCGCCAGCGGGTGCGTCACGCACCGCGCGTGCTCCCGCCGCGCCGCCCGTGGCCCCACCGCGGTGCAGCGACTGCGGCCTTGCAGCGCGAGCGATCCCGAGTCCAGGGAACGGGGGAGGGCATCTCTTTGACTTATCCGCCCTCTCCATGGTCTCCGCAGTTGGAATGGTCGGCACGCATGCCGCAAAGCTCTTATGCAGCATGCCTGCAGCTATGCGTCACCTGTTCGCAGCTGTGCACCACTCCCCGGCAGCTGGGTGCTATTCGTTCACCGCCGGCGGCGCACGTTAGAAAACGGATCCGAACTGCACGAAACAGATCAGAGACGGCTCACTCGTTATCTACACCGGAAACACGCGACCAAGCCCTTTGTATCGCTGCATCCATGTGAGATGGGTCACATCTGTAAGATGAGGCGTGCGAAAATGACCTCAGTCGATGCGGCTCGTCATTTCCATTAGTTAATCACATTACAAGTCATCACGGACGAACGTATGTCTAGAGTCTATATCTCATTCGTTACTTACCCGTGTAACGGTCTGGTGACGGGCAATGCTCCTGATGCACAATCACTTACAGATATTGCCACATTGGTCGCTGGCACTGCATAAAAGGGCTCCCGTAGCTCGCGACGCGTTGCTGAATAAAACAAGAGCACAGCGGAACAGTAATACGCGAGCATGCACTAGCAGTGGGAAACGGACCCCAGTCCCATCACTGGCAGCTCGGGCGGCCAGACTCAGTGGCAGGTGGTGTGAGCCGGGCTGCACGGCTCCGGGACGTCCCGGTGACGTGTCACCCCTGACACCCCTGCCGGGGGTCAGCCGGGGCCGGCCACCGGTGGCGGCACCTACCTGCACAAGCAGCGTCGCTGCCGACCGCGGGCTGTGGCCAGACGCCGTTCCCGGAGACGCTGCCGGCCGGCTGTTTTTCTGGTGCGGCTCCACCCGGCTTGGCCGGGAGTCAGCAGCCGACGCCAACTGGGGGCGGCGCGCGCACCACGCCGGCGGCGGTTCGTCGGCGCCGACGGCGGTGGCCCGCCGGCTCCCCGGGCGCCGGCCGACAACAAAAACCACGGCCCGGGCCGCTGAGTCAGCGGCCGGGAGCAGGGGCCGGCATCGGGACCCGGCGGTGCTCCTCGCGCGCTGGTCTGCCCGCAGACAGGGGCGCCCGGCTCCCGTGGTGTGGGGCGCAGCAGGCCAGAGGGGGGCGACTTATATCATGTTGAATGTGAAGTGTCGTTTTGATAGGTGCTGACACAAGTCGCAGGTAGACGCGGTACCATCACGAGCAGCGCGACGCACAGACCGGAAGACTGGACGCACCAGCAGGGGGCCAAAACAGAGGGGAAAACGGACAGAGCACGGCGCTCGCAGCACCGCGCGATATACTTCACTCAACACCTCACCGTTTCCTCGTAAGTGAGATCGTCTGTTCTTCCTCGGGTTTTTTTCTGAACTTCACTTCCCAGGTTGTTAGGACAGCGCCCGTGTCGCAGGCTGCAGCGGTATGGATCACTGTTCGGATGGCCGCGGAGAGTACGAGGTCTCTTGAGTCAGGAGCTCAGGTCAGCCAGCCCATCACGACCTTTCGATGGACTAAAGTTTGCAGCAGCAGCCACTGACGACGGCCTGCTGCGCTCAGCGCAGCCTTCATCAGACCAGCAGCAGCGCGCCCGCGGCTTAACTTTGCAACTAGACCCGACCACAGAAATCCGACGGACGAACGTTGAAAGCACGCCATTCAGCGCGCTGGCGTGATCGAAGACGACGTCGCTACGTCTCTATGGCCCACGGCATCACACCGCAAGGTACTTATGACCATCCGTTGGGCTTCTGTAGCCAAATGAGGTTCTGAGATTCGAAAGACTGCGACCACCGCTGGCAGAGCAGCGGGACACGGCCGCGTCGAATCAGCACTGCAAACGACTCATCATAAGCAGGCGGCCACGCCTCCCCCAAGGTGGGACAGTACGACACTGTCACTACATCGCCCGCCACCTGGCAGCTCAGTTGCGCGGTTCACACGTCCTTCTTTGAGACCATCTCTGCCACTTTCAGTTGCAGGTACGAGCACCGTCTCAGTATCGTGCGTGGTCTCGTCGATGACCCGTCGCTGCACTCTCGACAGCTGGCAGCGGTGAGAGCGCACTGGCGCTCAAGCCGAGGTAACGACAAACTTTGCATATAGTGTATACGCATAGCGTTTGCAATATTTACGTCTGCAGGCTGGCTATAACGTAACAAACGACGGGTCGGCTGTCCTACTCCGCGACGAGCTGATCTGTTTGGCGTCTAGTTGAAGGGTGTTGAATTTGCTAAACACATGTCCTGGTTTCATTAAACACGTGTCCACTTTACAACACGCCGTTTATTAACCAAAGGCCGCCGGCGCAGACTAGAAATAAAACGTGCCGATGAGGATGACGCGTAACAATTTACCCGAGTTGAGATGTCACGTGACGTCACAGGATGACAAAGCACCAGCGGCGGATAGCCTGTTTAAAATGAAGCCCTGATCGGGGCTTCCGTTAGCCTGGTTCAAACGGACGTAGTCCAAAGATACCCCCAAATCGCGCGATGTCATGAAGAACACAGTGCCCTACACTCCTGTAAAATGCCAAAATCGCAGAAGTATACCATAAAGGATACACAAAGTCACACTGAGGAAACACGCAGGAAATCGATACTGCGCACAGCAGTAACTACTCGGCGGAATGTAGGAGCACGAGGCAATTTGAACTACTCACTGTTCAAGACACATTTAACAATCTATAACTCCCAAACAAACCTACACAAATAAAACACCCCTCGCCCCGCCACTCTCCACGGGGCAAGGCTTGAAGGTCGCGACCGCACCAGTCAGATATCGAACGCGCCCGCAGCAGCGCCACCAATCCCAGCCCCCATTGAGCCCGTGGCTGTTGCGACCACACCGGAGCGTTCTGAGACCCACGCAAGGAGCAAGTGGTAATGCAGCTCAGCCCCGCCTCAGTTGAGCTCGGCTCGGCTCGGCTCGGCTCGGCTCAGTTCGGCTCAGCTCAGCTCAGGTCGAATCGACTCGACTCGACTCGATTCGGGTCAGCTCGGCTCAGCAGCTCTGCTCTGCTCAGCCCAGCTCAGCTCAGCTCAGCTCAGCTCAGCTCAGCTCAGCTCAGCTCAGCTCAGCTCAGCTCAGCTCAGCTCAACTCCATCCAGACAGTAACGGCCATTCAATGAAGCACTAAACTGATGTATGAAACATATCCGTGCTGAGGCAGATTGGAGTGCTGGTCAGGAGTGGCGTTCGCAGCGACAGCGCCGGTCACGACCCCCGTATTGCAGTCAGCCCGCTCTCCTCGCTCCCTCCCGAGAAACAGCTAGTGCCAGACGCCTATGGGGAATCCTGGTCATAGCTCCTCATGTGCCGCTGCGCCAAGCATCGCCTCCGTCTGCGCCGCATCCGCCGCATCCCCTGGCGCCGGCTCCTCCGGCGGCGCCTGCTCCTCCGACGGCGCCTGCTCCTCCTCCCACGCGCCCGCTCCCGTGTCCTGCGTCGCCGGGTCCTCTCCGGCCGCGCCGTCCGGATCAGCACTGTCCACCGCTGCTTTGTCTGGAACAAAACATAGTGTCCCATTTGGGGGTCTAGCGATGGCCGGGCGCGCGCACGGGACCTCCCTTTCTCAATGGAAAATGCTTTTCGAAGATCTTTAGAATATAAAAGCAAACTACCAGTCGTATCAGAAACCTAATAGTGGCGCAGGATAACCTGCACCTTTTGCCGTTGGATAAATGAGGTAAGGTCTCGTAATTTGTAGAGGTGTATCCGCAGTACAGAAAGTAAAACCCTTGCAGCGGCCGAAATAAACTGAACGCGCAGATTTTAAGCACCTTAATCGTCGAATGTCCTCTTAAGCGCCAAATTTCATAGAGCTGGCAGTGTTTTCAAAGATGTAGTACTTGTTACATTTGGAATCGATCTGTTACAGACGGAAACAATCCCACAAAACTGTATCCGCACCTTTTGATACAAGCAAGGTTGTGCTGTGATTCTGTTGTTATTGGTACCAGACTCCCCAAAATGCAAGACTGAACATTCTTGGTAAGCTGTCCCATCTCAGCCATGTAAAATTTTTGAGAAAGCACACGTGAAAAAGAAAATTTACAAGACATTTATTTTCGCGAGAAGAAATAGTCACAACTAACGTCAACGCCGATCATGTTCAATGCAAAGCAAAGACGACAGGAACATATCTAAGCACCGTAGTCAGTAAATTTTGCTCTCAGGCACTCTTATGATGACTGCCACCTTTGTAAATCACTACCCCCTGTATGGCACTGGACCACAAAACCAGAACGTATGGTTATCAGTCGTCTCACCTCAGTGTGGCGGAGGTCAGGAATATTTGAAACGCAGCAGATATGAAATATGCCATTATTTTCGCGGCAAAAAAATATTCCAGTCAAAATCCACCATGACCACTAAATGGGCACGTAAACAGTGAGAAATCCTAAATGGTCATCAGTATTCACATAGCTATTTTCCCGTCCAAAAATTTCGCTTCCATTACCAAAACCGTCTCGCCAACATCAAAACCCGATCAAGATGATTTTTTTCAAGAAATATCTAAAGCGGCATTCACTTCTCAACCAGAAAGCTCCGCCTGCCGAGCTGGCGCACCAGGCGCTCCGGACCAGAACAATACCGCTCAGCACCGTGAGGCAGGTCGGCGCTGCTTTCCCTATCAAGATTGACTAAAATACTGAAACAGACCCTCCACATTCACGAAAAAGCTCGCAAACGTGGAAGTGTATCGAATGCATGCACGCTAGGAAATCCCTGTTAGAACATACTCTGAAAAAGTGTTCGCACAATACCTCGCATAACCTGTCAATCACAACTACATCAAAGGAGCCAGCACTACATTGCTTGTTGGTGGTCCGTGCCAACAGCATGAATTTGTAGGTCATGCAACTTATATTTGGCCTTTGACCTGACATAATGGGACGAAATACTGAATTACAAGGATATACGTATTACCAATCGCGGAATTTTGCTAGGAACATTCCACTGATGTTTTATACGGCCTTTAATAATTATTAGTTTGGAAAAGGCAAGGAAAGGAAAAGTCGCACCAACTCTCTATCGGTTCGCGTAATAGAAAGTGGCCAATCAGGGCGAGGGTTAAAATAATTTACTTAAGGATGCCACGGAACACCATTGTTTCCAATGGATCAAAAGCATACAAACTATGCAAACTTCGCGCTTATGTTATCATGCTCTTAATCTTACTCCCTTTGCAACATTCGCTAAAAAGAGCGTAATTTTGCGTGCGTACGTGCGTGCGTGCGTGCGCGTGCGCGTGCGCGTGCGCGTGCGTGTGCGTGTGCGCGTGCGCGTGCGTGTGCGTGTGCGTGTGCGTGTGCGTGTGCGTGTGCGTGTGCGTGTGCGTGTGCGTGTGCGTGTGCGTGTGCGTGTGTGTGTGTGTGTGTGTGTGTGTGTGTGTGTGTGTGTGTGTGTGTGTGTGTGTGTGTTTTAATTAAGATGGTTGGCGACAACACTAGTAAACAAAGCTGGAGACCACAAAGTAGCGACAAAATGTACTATTTGTTTCGAACGTTGTCATACTACAATTTGACAATAGTATGTTCGCTGACCACTTTATGATGAAAGACTCGGTAACTTTCCATAAACATTTCATTGAGGATCATCGTCCACTCGCTCCAACATCGGTATCTTCAAT